TGGTCTCGAGGCAGTGTTGGTTTTCCTCAGGCCTGGATTTCTTTCTTAGAAAATGATCCAAAATCACCAGTAAGGCAATAAATGGTAAAAAAAATACTAGTATATTTAGATTGCGTGTAACCTCCTTGCAGCTGTGGGCGAGAAGTTCGAATGCAGTTTAATGAACAGGTGGAACGCCAGGAGGAGATATATAAATAATGCACACTGAGAGGCCTTTATATAAGTGCTGTCAGCTTGATTGGTAAAAGAATTACTTATGCCCGCTCTCTTGTACAGGTTAAAATAGAAAACAGATGGCCCTTCTGTTGTAAAAGTGATACCAGGATATTAAATACCTGATAGCCCATAAAATTGCTCTGTTTGTATGGTGTGCTGTTTCCAGACCCTGAGTGGCTTTACAAATTACAATCTGCTTCCTCTGGGGAGGTTTGATTCTGATGTCAGACTACTGAATTGTCGAGATTGTTTCATTTACAGCTTCTGTCTTCTTAAAACGAGATGTACTCTGTAAAGCCATGTTCAATTTTGCCTATGTTAGTTAGCGCATTAAAAATGGCGGATGAACCACAAACATTTTAACAGCGTTAAAATATGTCAATAAATTTAGTTGAATTCATTTGTAATGTATGAATTAAAGTTTACTTGTATAACTGGTAGATGTAGAGGTGGATCTAATTGCAGCTGTTTAACAACAGGCCATAAAAGGTGACCCTAACTAACCCTAAACCAACTTAAGCACCTGAAAGAACATATCAGCTTTCGTCAAAGTGCTGGACAGTGAACTGAAGGAACTGAGAGCATATAAACAAGATGACGAGGAACTAAACCAGACACAGGTGAACGTAATCATAAAACCATTGAATCACCATTTAAAAAAGCAGGAGCTGACATGTGTAAAGCATCGTCATCACTGAAAATTCTGGACAAATGATCTGAAGGCATATAAACTCAAGAGGACAAAACTAAACAAGACACAGGTGAACCTAATTAATCAACTGAATAACAGCTGGACACAAGTGTAATTATTGCTTGTACCAATGTTCATTTCAACAGCAAATTTTATTTTAGGCTTAGTCTAATTTAGTCTTTTGGCTAAAATTCTATTTTATTTTATTTTTTTATCTTCTGATTAATTTTAGTTTTAGTCTAGTTTTATTCGAATAAATTTCATTAGATTTTAGTCGAAAAATTGACTGGATTTAGTTGACTAAAATATATTTGGTTTAATTTAAGTGTAATTTAATTAAATGTTGTATACATTTATTTACATAAAATATTCTAACTCCAAATTTAATAAAACTGTCTTCATAAAATATGAAATATAGCTTTCTGATTCAAGACCAAAAATTGCGTATGCATTGTTTATTTATATCATAAGTAATATGTAAAATTATGTGTCGCAATTAATCCACATGATAATCACCCGAATCTACCAGTGGACCAGTTACAGTGTGTTTTTGCCATGAATCACACACCAAGACTAAATCTGATTGAGGGATGTTTTTGGGAAAATATTCAATCACATTCTTGTCTCGTTTTTATTAGTCAACAAAAATGTCAGTATATATTTATTATAGTTATCGTCATCATCACCTCTTAAGTTTTTAGTTTTTGTCTCGTTTTGATTGTTAGAAACTTAAAAATGTTTTTGTCAACGAAATTAACACTGGCTTGTACATTTTTTTTCTTTCTCCATTGGCCATATACCTGTCAACCCTCCCATTTTTCCTAGAATTCCCTCGTATTTTAAAGTTCTATCTCGCTATCATCCTGTAAAGTTATTTTTAACGTATTTTTCCTTTATTTTCAGTCTTTCTCTGAGAGGTGGCGTTAAACATTAAAGAGCCAGTCCTCCCTATACACAAGCCATACCGCCAAATCACCAGGGGACGCCTCTTGCTCCTAAATGTGAATCTGTTTTGTGCTTTCATTTTATTTAGGCACAAAACACTTTAAAATACATTTAAAAACGGCGGAATTCCCTTTCCTTTTCATTACAAGTGCCGTCGCCCCTCCTACACTAAAAAAAATATTCAAAGATGATTCCTTGGATTAACTAAATTTTTTAATGTTAAGTGGTTGTAAACAATTTCATTGTGTTAAATTTAAACAAACAAATTGAATTGAACATTGTTCAATTTAATTTTATTGTTTAAATTCAACACAAATAAATTGTTTGCACGAGTTCTGCATGCAACACTTTTTTCAGCAATCCTCAAAACAGTCATGTAGCGGTGCGTGACTGTCAGATGCGCTCCATAGTGATAAATAGACGCTGTTTCCCAAACAAATTCTGTACATGCGATTTGAAGCAGAGTGAAATTCTGCACAATTAAAAATAATACCATCTAAAGATGTCGATCTTGGTGGGTTTTATTTCAAACACAACTAGTTCTGTCCTAAATCAGTATAAACCGTTAAGAAAGCAATCGAATGCTTTCATTATAACGTTAAATCTGTGCATTTTTAAAGTGACATTTGTAAAGTTTTTTTGTTTGTTTTTTAATGTAATCAAGCAAAAAATTCAAATAAACTAGATTAATTCATTGCTCTTTAATCAGAATGTATAAGGTATAAAGTGATCAAGAAAATTAATGAGATTTGATAACTTGATTCTATTTCTTTATAGAAGCTAAATATGGTTGAATGAGCCTATCTTTTCATCTGACCAATCAGGAGGATAAACTTGTTGAAGAGTGGCTGCTGTATGATTTGTTAAAAATTATTGCTCATTGTTAGTTCACTTGAATAAATGTTAACATGAACTAGTCTTACTTGTTTGAAAGTGTAATTAGTATGTTTACTGGTAACATTTTATTTGCTGTATACACACATAAAACCTTACATTTTAATTGTATTTATTTACCACTGATAATTGAATATTTTACTTTTTAGTTTTTATTCTGAAATGTTCAGCATGTAACTCCGTCAAACAACAGCCTGTCTATAGCACTGACAACTGAACAGAGAGGATTTTTGTTTTGTTTTCTAAATGCCACACTGAGGTCATTTCAGCAAGCAATCCCACACACACAACATCTCTGAACAGAGTGGGAAAGGAAATTAATAATTCATGTGGTTGTAAGCAACGTTGCCTCCATAACCAGAAAGCAAATGATACTTCATTCTGGTCAGGAACCCATACAGGTCTCCAGGACTAATTACTTAATGAAAAAGATCAAATTACCAGCTTTCTTCATCTGTGCCCCAGATCCACTCTGAAATCCAGCTCCAAACTTTGGCATCAGCCTCACTGATAACAGCGCTCAATCCTGTGAAAACTACTATCCTGTAATCACTACTATCCTAAAATCATAAAAAGGGCACACACATATCTATATTATGGTTTAGGTGCATGTACTTACACTATAAATGAAATGGAACAATTGTTTTACAGGAACTGATGTGCATTTATTCTCTTGTCTCTTTGCAGGTCACATTGGGAAGCATGACTATCTGGCCATCGGATTGACCCAGCACTGCATCACATTTACATTATATCAAATCAATTCAAAATCAATTCACTAATAAGTTATAAGATGTTTGTTTCCTTCTTTCTAAATGACTTACCTTTAGTTTAGTATAAGCTTTAGTCAATGCATATCATGCAAAACGACTTAAAGGACACTTGCTGTTTGTACAGCTTCCTTTAACTGACATTAGTTATGAGAACAATGGTGCCAGATCAGGACTGTGATTTAAATAATTCTCTTGTTCTGGAGTCACATCTAATGCAGATAAAATCCTCCAGATTTGTGTTAGCAACCTAGATAATTCACCAAGCCACCAGTTAGTAGATAGACTTTAGCAAAGCAATATGGACGACAAATTCATCTAATTATTCTGCTGAATTATGAACATTTCCAGATTTGTCTGTCGTAGCATAATATAGATAGCTAAATATAGAATTTCTAAAAACTATATATAATATTAATTGAATAAACTTTCATGTTAATGTAGTCTATTTCCGATACATTTGACTGATGAATGATAACAAAACATGCAGTGTTTTACTCCACGATGGAGCCGTTAATAGTTGCCATGGTTACACTCAAATGAAAACAACTTTTACCGTTAGCATTTGTTTGCTAAACCTATTCTCTTATGACTATGTATTTTAACTGAGACCATTATGTTTTAGGGGGGTTCGAGTGTTAAATCGAGGAATCTGATTCCCTCAACCCCCCGATTGTTCGCAACCTCGTACAGTTAGCAAACTCATTCATACAAACAGTTCGACTGTCACATGTGGGCGGTGCTCGCTGTAACTTCAGAGTGACGTGATGAGGCTGGTCTTGGTCAAACCTACCAATGAAACGGGCCTCCTTGACTCCACCGGGGCTGCGCGGAGCGAAAGGGTGCCCGATCATTGCAACGCAAAGCGGCACTCCGCCGCAGGTGAGGCGGGGATGCAGCATCGCTACTCGGGAGCCGTCCATCAGCACCACCACCAGCACGCGGAGCACAGGGGTGGCCCTAGACAGACCGCACTCCCCTTGCCAAAACACAGCCAAGAGAGTCTGCCCAGCCCTTTCAGTCAGGAAGCACCAGTCAAAAGCCAAGGGAGCAACCCAAGTCTCGCAGACTGTTCGAAACCCTCCCTAAGTCGGCAGCAGAGTGTCGGAGGGGCTGCCAAAACTGCGAATTGCCAACAAGATCATCACTGTTCGTGCAGCTGCGAATCGCACGAGCATCAGCTGTTGCAGCATCAGCATCACAAGCCTCCACCTTCCCTCCAGCTACAGGTCCAGCAGCAGCGGCTGTTGAGGAGCAGCCTGCCCAACTGCTGCGTGAGGGGATCCGCGGAGCTGAGAAGCCAGCAGCAGCGAGACAACGTCAGCCTGAGATCCGGCGATCCAGCTCATCACGCCCGTGCATGCACGCCTGATAGATGCCAGGGAGCCAGGAACTCCGTTTCTCCGCGGAGTAAAAGCAGCCCGCTGTCGTCTGACAGTCGCCTGTGGCTCGAGGAGAATAAACACAGACACGAAGGCTATAAGGTAATCCTCCTTCTACCAGCTGATTTGTGTGCGAACAACGCGCCGTTAGACTCTGTGAAGTTTATGCTTAACAGGTGGCCAGTTTTATCAACGATTACGCAGGCTTCGGCTTGACAGCGCAATGTACAGGGAGGTCATGCTTCAGATCGCTTGCCATTTTTTAACAGCAAATTTCGATGCACGGTGCTGCTTTGTAGTTGCTAGGTGTTGGTATTCGCGGTAACCTCGAAATCTTGGAAAGAAAGCACAGGCGGGGGTTGCTTGCAACAGGCTGTTCATGATTCCCATGATGGCGTTCAATAGTAAGCATTATGAAGCATTCCTTCATTCATTCCCACACCTGCATCATTCATACTGTTTTTAGCCCAGTGCCTGCCTGACTATTACCTCATTATGTGAGTCAGCTCAGAATAATTCCTGCATCTGTTTATCTGTCTGTTTTTCTGTGTGGCCCTAGCAGCGCATCAGTCGCCTGAAAGAAGCAAGGGGCAGAAAAGCAAGGCAGAAAGGCAAATCAGTGTCATTCATTCCTTGTGGGAGAGCCGACCCTGTTTCTGTCTCGCTGTTCCATTTTCTGCCTCTGCAAGCCAAGGGAAAGCCCCCCTGAGTGGCACTAACATGTACTTGGGGCCTGTATTATTCATGACGGCTTAGACATCACTGCCAGAGAGAAGAGACATTAGTATCAGTTTAGTTCACAATGCACAGCAGATGGATGTAAAGCCGTCACCCATCTCTTTCCATACGTCTTCCCTGTTGTTTGCGTCAGTATCTCGCTCGCTTGACTGCTTCTTGTGTTTGACCGCATTGTGCTTGTGATTGTTCAACCTGTGGCATTTGATTAATTTGTCATTTAATTCACTGCTCTGAAATGGCAAAACAACCCTGGGAATCACGTCGAGCTGTTTACAAATCACTCTTTTAGGAAAAGCACACATTTATGCAGAATTCTGTCTGCAGGGGGTTGTAATTATGTAAATATTTACGCAGAGTTTACAGTTGGGCTTCTTCTTGATTGTGCACGAGAGGGAGTGGGAGCTCTGGGATGTGCCGTGGATGTTAAGGGAATGACCGCTTCAGCATGAACCAGAGGAGAGAGTCTCCGGGTGTTGTTGCTCTGCAGCTGCTGTTCTGCTGCTTAATCAAGGGTAATTTGTGGAGAGTATAATTGGCCTGGCTCTCTTGTCTCTGTGTGTATTCCAACTGAAACTGGCCAAAGGCTCTCTCTGTAAATACCTACTGTGTGTGTGTGTGAGTGAGGAACTATGTCAGACTATCCCAGGGCCTGTTGCTGTAGATTATTTATAAAAGACTATGTTGTAATATTTACATACTCTGGCTTAGGGTTGAATTATGGATACCACCGTTAATATTCATTTCTAACTATGGTTCTGTAAATAACTGTAATCGTTCCATTCCACAAAAGGTTTTTATAATGTCAAATCTTTAAATTATTAAAATCATCTTCACACCAAAATTAATCAAGGTTATTTTAAGATCACTTATTGGTTCAGCCAATTTTATAAGAGCATATTTCAGGTATCTGTCCATTTTTTTAAAGGGCATCTATGATCAAAATCTTCTTTTGTAAGCTGTTTGGACAGAACTGTGTGTAGGTATAGTGTGTCCACAGTCGTATTGGAGTGATATAAACACAATAAGTCTCTTTTTTTAAATTTCTTAACATTAAAATAGGATTTAAATCCCAGCCATTTTTTGATTGATTGACAATTGAGTATTAACATGTCTCCATAGTAACACGTATAATAATATCAACAAAACAGGACGTGCGCAAAGCAACTGAGATTAAAAGATCTGTTCAGCTCTCTGTGATCATCAATCATCGTCAAATGTGATCAAGAGTGAGTTTTAGAAGTTTAAAACGTTTTTCAAAACAGTGCATGTTTAGTGAATGACAGCGATTTTTACCCTCTTTATCATTACAGCCGCATGTCAGTACAATTATAAAAGAAGACACTTCAATCGCGGTTTGTGGATGTTAAATCAGGTTTATTTTGTACATTAAAATTACGGATATCAGTACAGCAGTGGATATAAACGTTTATCCTGTCACATTTGCTGTGCAAGAACAGTGCAAAGTTAAACGTGTGTGCTGCATGTATGTGTTTGAACTTTGTAATGACATTTAGGGATGTAAAGATTCATCTGACTCGCAATTCGATACAATTCAGGGTACTAATCTCATGATTTAGTCAAGATTTTTTAACAAAATGATTTGAAACAAATATTAGGTGAAAAGCCCTTAATTTTTTTTTTTAAATGCTGCAACTTTTGCTAACTATAATATATTTTCTACCATAACTAAATTGCTATTTTAAAAACAAACTCCAAATAAAAAGAATAATACAAACTAAAGAAGACTCATTAATATAAGCTAGGCATGGGCTGGTATAAAATTCTGACAGTTTGATAACTTTGGATAAAAACATCACGGTTTCATGGTATTATACTCACTGCTCAAAAATATATTCTTTTTAAATGTCTGGGTAAAAAAAAAAAAAACTTTTCTTCCCATTTGAAAAAAACGTGTTCTATTTTTTGAATGATTTATGATAATTTAGAGCAGGAAACACGTCAAACTATATAATTCAAATGAATCATTGACTTCTGCTGTCTTTATTTGTTTCAAAACCACTGATTTTTTTGCTATTTAATACAGCTTCTTTGGATAGATTTTCTGCTAAAGATACTGTTTTAAAAAACAAAGAACAAAAACCAAAAAAATGTAAATAAAAAATCTTACACATACCTTAGGAACGATATTACAGAAAATTTTGGCGGTTTTAAAATCTTGTCTTTTCCCAACTGTGGTACACCTTGAAAACGGTTATCGTCCCATGCCTAATATAAACAAACTAAAACTAGGGCTGTGCTGGGATTTAACATTTTAAAAAAGCAATATCAGAATATCTGTGTTCTCTGGCATAAGCCGAGGTCTTTGCACATTTACAATGTCCCCTGCTGATGAAAAAACACTTTCACTGGGGACTGAGATGACTGGTGTGGAGAAGTAAGCCTTTCCTAAACCAGAGAGCAGTGTGGACAGAGGTGGTCAATAAGCCCTCTGATCCTGGGAACTGGCCACTGGCATAAAAAATAATAAATATAAAATTACTAATTAATTATCAAATAGAACAAAGACAGGAGATGAACATGATTATGAAGATTAATAATAATATTACTTGAATAATTCAATATTAGTCTGACACACTTAGAAAAGAGATCATCTTGAACATTTTTAAATATAATAAGCATATTATTAAAATATGCATAAACTAATTTAAAAAGGAGAGGGGGGAAATAATTTAATTCTGTAACAGAACAACTTTCTCATTTAGTCTGAAAAAACATCCTCACACTTTTAACTTAGAAAACACTGATGCACTGTTAGATCTCCGTAGCACTCATCAGAGCAAGCGAAGCTGCAAATCCTCTGATCCGCATGGTTTGGCTTATTAATAGTTTATTTGCGTACAGATATCTGTGACAGTAGTTTTTTTACTGTGCTGATGGTTTATGTGCATCATATTCGTTCTTCTGTTAGTGTATATAAACGTCTTTTTGCAGTATTTGCACAAAGTTTGTCTGGCGCACTTCACCGTTGTCATTTTACTCTGCCGCCCCACCTCTTGCTCGCCGTTTATGTGCAGGTAAAGCAAGATTGTGCCTGTAAACACAGCGCCCCTCTGTTCAAAACATGTATGGCTATTCATTCAACATTTCAACCGATTTGAATCGTCACATATTTTAATCGATTTTCAACTGACTCCCGGTGAATCGTTACATCCCTAACGGCATTGTGTGTGACTTGTTGCTGAAAGACTTTTAACTCCACAACAAATACATCAAATAATCATTGGGAAAGTTCTTACTGTAGTATTTCACACAAACATTACGTGAGATCTGCTTCCTTCATGTCTGTCACTGTGCTGTTAATCTGACGCAGCCAAGGCGGATATTGAGGCACACTCTGACAGGCTTGTTGGAACGGTGGGCAGAAAAAACTAGCATTAAAAGCACAGGCAACAAAAATGGTAACATTGTGTTCAGAGCAGGAAATTCCAATATTCTGAAAGCTATAATAAATAATCTGAGGGGGGTTTTGAGCTGAATCTTTACAGACACATTCTGGACACATTAAAGACTTTACATCTTGAAAATTAGGTAAAATAGGTGCCCTTCAAATTCCTGATCATTCTCTTCAAGCCTGATGACAGAAAAACTTTGATTCAGTAACAATGTTCCTGATTCTGCTCATTTTGTTCTTGTTGTCTTATGAGAGCCCCTGCAGTTTGTGTGTGTGTGCATAAATGTCACTTGGGAAAAAGACAGAAATTATGTTACGAAGTCATTTGCTTAAGAATGTAGCTGCAGGGTATTTTTGACACATTCAGACTTGCATTATGTTCCAAGTTTCTGAAAATGTTTAAGTATGTTTTTCCAGTTCTTGAGGCTTCTATAAATGAGACCATATTATAAAAATAAAAAATCAACACCCTTTAAATATATATATATATATATATATATATATATATATATATATATATATATATATATATATATATATATATATATATATATATATATATATATATATATATATATATATATATATATATATATATATATTTATTTATTTATTTCAATATACATCAGGTCAGAAGAGTTGTACTTCCTGAACATAATACCAAATTAAAATGAAATAAAATAAATCATGATGGCTAGTACAGTCTTGAAATTAATTTTTTCAAAATTCTAAACATTAACATCGTAACATTTTACTTAAATTTTGAGGTTGTATAGATTGCATCTTGTTCACAGACCAATTCAATATGGCGATATCATGGGTCCATAAACAGTTCCTGCTTGTCTTATAGATTTTTTCAGAACTGTATGTAAGAGGCGATTCAGTTATAACTAATGTTAACACAGACGTCATTAAAAAAGTATCAACACTCAGCTTTCTATATTCTCAGAAG